GACCAGACCAATTTGACCGGTCTGGTCAAAGGATCTGTACTGGTCAAATTGGTCAAATAGTATATTTAAATATAATTTTATTATATAATATATATATTATATTTATATAATCGGTTTGACCAATTTGACCAATAAATTTTTGGTCGACCACTAATTTGCCCAACACTCTTTATATATCAATATTATTTTTTTAATAGTATTATATTTAATAATTTTTACTTTTTTTTTTTTGAAGGAAAAATTCCAGTGCACATGTGGAGTTATCCATCATGGATAAATCAAACAAAAGCTGCTGAAGGTCGTAAACAAATGGAATCAGAGGGTGTAATATATGGTGGATCCGAATCATATCGACACATGTGTAGATTCAATTCAGGGTTTTTCTATCAACATGAACTTTTATTACCTTTCGATTATTATTGGAGATTAGAACCTTCTGTTAGATTTATGTGTGATGTTGATTATGATCCATTTTTATTTATGCAAAAGAATAAATTGATTTACGGATTTACTATTAGTTTGATAGAATATCAAACTACTATAGCCACTCTTTGGGATTCCGTAAAACAATTTATAAAAGAGTACCCACAACATATTCCCGAGGATAATCTAATGAAGTTTATTAGTAATGATAATGGAGAAACTTACAATCTGTAAGTAATGAAAAAAGAATTTTTTATTTTTTTTTAATGAAATCATTAATTATCATCTACTTCATATTGTGACAAAAGATGTCACTTTTGGAGTAATTTTGAAATTGGAGATCTAAATTTTTGGAGAAGTAAGCCATATCAAGATTTCTTTAATTACCTAGACAAGTTAGGAGGATTTTTCTATGAACGGTATGATACAATTTATTCTTTAATTCATACATCCTCGATTATAATTGACGGTACGAAATTATGCATTGCTGAATTGCCATAATGCCGTCAACTGTATTCTCATTATCTCATTAATATATTAAGCCAATTTTATATTTTAAAAAAAAAGTTGGGGAGATGCACCAGTCCATTCAATAGCCGTGGCATTGTTTGCTCAAAAATCAAAAGTCCATTTTTTCAACGATATAGGGTACTATCATCAACCATTTCAACATTGTCCGCCGGAAAATGAATATCACTATACTGGAAGATGTCATTGTGATCCGAAAGATAACTTTGGTATATTCTTTTTTTATTTTAATTAATAATCTGTATTTTTTGCTTATATTTATTGATATTTATTTAAAAAAATTAAACAGATCCGTTATGGTATTCTTGTACTTCAAAATGGTTTGATGTCTAAATTATTGTTGCCTTCTTTTTTATTTGATGATCCTAAGGTTCGGAACTCTCTATCATACGATATTAAGGATAATAGATTTTAAACTAATATTTTATCACACAAAAAATTGAATTTTAAAGAAATTGAAAAATTTATTGTGTGATTTGTTTATGTAAATTATGTAAAATTTGAAATAATTAATGCATAACTTTCTTTTTTTCTTTTTTTCTTTTGACAAGAAATAGTAGAAAAATTATTCATAACAAATTTTTAAATTTGCATTTGATTCTTTTTATAATTCATAAGAAACATTTGTTACAAATATTTTATAAAATAAAATGTTTGTATGTAAAAATAGCATTACAAAGCGTTATCAAAGATGAGATATCAAATGAGATATCAAATGAGATAGATGGGTACAGTCATACCTTTTATAACTAACTATATTTATAGCCAGTCAGGTTTAAAATCAGGATTATATGGTACATGTTCTGAAAATATTTCAATAAACTAAAATTATAAAAAGGTGGTAAAGTATTGAATTATGAATTAGAAAACCTTTTAGTTTGACTGCATAATTAAAAAGAATCTACCTCTTGGTCTGCTAGAACTTTTGTAACGGCAAAACGTCGATATTCATGAAAAATCGAAGTCAATGACCATTTTTGTAATTTGCGAAGACATCCTACTAAACAACCTATTCTATGCTATTTTATTTAAGATATTTAAAATTAGTAAGTTTAACTACAGATAAAAAAGATAAGAAAATAATCAACACACATCTACCTTTCCTTTATTACAATGTATCAATACTGAGGAGAAAAAAAAAAAAGTAGTTTTTCATAAGAGCACTAATAAAAAAAGAAATAATATGAATATATATAAACAAAATACCTGGATGGTTCCTTATGTCTATAAAAAAAAGAATATTAATAGATACAAGATGACAATATCTAAGTTAAATCTTTGATTTACCTAGAACTTTAACTAAAGCATTACTAATTTCTTTTTGTTCGATTTCAATAAATGGTTCCTAATATAATATTGAGCGCAAATAATAAATAATCGCAGTTAAAAATTCAATTTAATAATATAATTATTGCATACCTTGTTTCCATCAATTTTATAATGGAAAACTTGAATTTTTTGATCCTTCACAAATTGACTCAACTCTTCATTAAATTCATCTGATGAAAGGTATCTGTTTTATTCGTTTGTAATATAATGAATGCAATTAAAATTTGATAAAGCTTTTTACTGTATCTATGAAAATTGAGTCGAACATTATACTCTTCAATTTTAATTTTTTTAGAAAGGGAAAATTTTTACGATTTGGATGCCCAGAGCGATAAACACCTGGTGCCACCATTGCAAAATTCAAGGGCGGCACCATGACTTTAACTTCTTCATCAGGATTGTTGGATAATGTATGTGTTGAAGTAATATTAACATTAGATGAAGGTTCCGATGCCATTTTTGAAGGACAAAATACCTAGAAAATTTGGAAAATCCATCTCGCTTAAATAGACTCGAGCTAAATGTCACGTCTGTGATGTATTAACATAGCTATATTGGAAAATTTCCTAATTGAATATACTCACATATTAGGTCAACTTGTCATATTAATATTAATACGTATTCACATTAAAATTGACTGGTTGAAAATTGGGTTAATCGACCTTTTTTAATTATCGACAGGATCACTATTAAGTAGAGAATTAAATTTCTTTTCAGAAACTGTTTCTAGCTTTTAAAGGATGGGCTTTAAAAATTTTATTAGTTATTCATTTTTAATAGACCCTTTTAAGTATTTTTTTACATAAAATTATCGTTATACTGTAACTGTAATACCAAGGATGATTGATAACATTATAGGATAGAAAGTTTTATGATAAGTTCATACAAAAGTTTTAATATCTTCAGATTCTATCGCTACTAAAAGATAATGATTTTGCCATATTCTAAATATACATATATAGTTTCAAATATTGGTTGCGTTTCGTCCTTTTTATAGGATGGTATATTCTTTAGTCTTTTTTTTCTGTCTTCTCAATTGTCTCAACAATCACGTAGATGTGATCTCTTTTGTCACTTTCACAAGTATTATCATGGCATGGTTCCCAATTCAATTTTTTACGTTATGTGCCATTTCACCACTTAAGATATTGATTAAAATTTATAATCATTGTTGTTTTTTTGATAGGAACTAACTGTGTGAATCGTGTCTTTCCC